TTACCAAGTATAGCCACAACCATGTCAATCTGGGAGAGCAAGAATGAGGGCTGGGTCGCAGGGCTCACAGTATTCCAGTGCTCTGTTTTCTGTCTTCAGGAAAAGGTACAAGGCCAGAAGTTCCAGGTTTCCTCTGAACCCAGTCAGGGTCAAGGCGTATCGCTATACGAGAGCCCCAACTCCTAAGTAACCTCTTAGTCTCAGTGTGCCGTTCCTGAAGTTTGGCACTTCTGTGCTCTCCTATTTTTGAGTCAGTGGGCTTAGCGGTTGCAGAATTGTGTCTTCATCAGAGTGATCGGAAATCTATGGTGGGAGCTGGCTGCTCAGATTCAAAGCAGGTCAGCAAATCAGTTGCAAGATGCTACTGGCGGGGATCTTTATGGCCTTTCTATGGTATGATGATGCTACCGTATCACACAACTTCTTTCTTTTACTCTTCTTGATGCAAGGTTGATAAAAATCCCAATGCATTATTGAAGCCTTCTTCCCAATATTCATTACTTATACTTCCATCATCCCCTTTTGGGTCGCAAATTCAAAATTCGCATGAGCAGAATGCAAAGGTATGAGCTGGTCCACGGTTGTGGATGGAATCTTCTTTTTTCTTGCATTTGACAGTGGGCGTTCAGTATTTCTGCATAAATATGAGTTAAAACGTGATCTCTTCACCACACAAGTCCTAAAACTAGAGAAAGAGAACCCAGTTAAACAAATGAGTCAAAAACATTATACTTGTACAATCTCTGTTTCATAGTATCTACTCAAACTTTAATTTTGATGTATGGAAATGTATTTAACTGGTTCAGCTGCTTCGTCAACATCCTTAAACAAAAAACACCAATTTTGCAGTCTTCCTAGAACTGGAATCTCCTGCAAATTGTTAATGGCAAAATTACATTCCAGCTTTGTTTTGTGTCTGTGTACTTAATTATTGCTTCATGTCCATATGATTTCTTTTTGTGTTATTTTACTTTTTCCAGGGTGGTGCATACTATTTCATTGAACATGTAGCGGCTGACCGATCCACCTGGACCTACTTCTGGCAGCAAATCTGTGACCCCGCTTGGGGATATCTGGGAGAGGGGTGCTCCGTGTTAAGAGAGACCTGGAAGGACTTGGAGAATGCAGAGTTTTCTAAACTGAACTTGCAACACATGGCAGCCCCGTTGGTCGTTCCTGTAGTATGTCCCCATATTTATGGATATGCCATGAAGTAATTGTCCCGTAAGGGGAGAGCACCTTTCTCTTAAAGTCAGATGACTGAGTTCAAGGAATTAATAGTAACAATGCATATGTTGCAATAAGAAAAATGCTTCCTCTATTCTATATGATTATTCAAAATAGAGAAAGGCTCCTAAAAGTTCAGGCCACAATAAACCTAAATGATATCTTAGATTAGGTTTGGAGGGAGGGCAAATAATAAGTTTAACAATTAATATAAAAGAAAAAGTCCATCCTACTGTCAGAGGCCATCTCAACAACAACAAAAAAAAGCCTAATCAGCCACTTTTTGTGGCATTACCCTGTCCTGCACGTGAGCCTCCCAGGAAGGAAAGCTAGGGGTGCCTGTCTTTGGGGATTACTACCCGTGTGGAGTTGTCTGATCACAAACTGATAATGGGCAGAGCCCTAACTTAGACACAAGCACAGCAGGGAATTTTCCGTGGATAATGCCTCAGGCAGAATCCTCGTTGGCCTTTGGGAGAAGCCAACGCAGAAGGAACGGAACATCTTTCTTGGCTTCTCATCCGCTGCCTACCCCCTGCGGTTTTACTCTAGAGTGAGTCAAACTATGCACATCCTGGCATGGGATTGCATTGAAACCTAAGGCTTGGAATTTAGAAACTGTATATTGTATCAAAGCTTGCTGACCGCTGTATTATGCATTAGTACCTTGCTTTCCTTATGATTATTTCCTTACGATTCTTTTCATTTTCGCTAAAAAGGTAAAGGGTCTTTTTGCTCTCCAGTGAACCTTGTCTCATGATTTTTTCCATACACTGAAGCAAATGCAAACACCAGGTCCCACAGTAAGCTTCTATTCTGAAGCAGATTGTGGACCATGTGACTTACCCGTGGAATACCCTATAATCACTTGAAGTGGGCACTGAGAAGAGGTGTGTTGTTAGACCTTAACCCGATGCTACCACATCTCTACAAACATTTGGGGGGAATAATCTGGCACATTCCTTCAGTACCACACCACCCTGTTGCTGGCCACTGGGGGAAGTCCTGATGGCCACTGGGAGATTCCAGGTTTCCACAATCACAGCTTTCTATGTCCTCACCCCAGTGCTTTTTCAGATTCAAAATGTATTTTCGCCCAGAGGGATATAGAACAAAAGAATTAACAAACTGTTTAGAACTAAAAGAGGAAGGATGAATATAAAACACAAGCTAAAAAAAAATAGTAGAGAATATTATTATCACTATTATTTCCAGTGTAAACTGTGATGAGAAACAATGTTATTTAACTAAAGCTAAGACATACAGCTAAAACACTAACATAGAAGTAGGTTAAAATAACCTAACATCCATCCATCCATCCTTATTCAGTGTTGTTCAAAACCTAGCCACAGTTATTCTATATTGAGGGTTGGGGAGTGTTTAGCTTGCTGGCAGCATAACAGAATGTGCAACATCCAGGGAGGTAGAGCCTCTTTGATCGGAAAGCAGAGTATGTATGTAGAAAGTTATCAGAATGCCTCAGGGAAATCTTGATGGCCGCTGGAGATTTCAGGTTTCCAAAATTACAGCTTTACATGCCCTCACCGTAGTACCTTTCCCCTCAGCATGCAAAAATTATAAGTTGCTAACTTCAGCATGATGCCTGCAAGGAAGAAACAACATAAGATATATCTCTGCGTTATATGATACCAGTTCCCAAGCAGTGCCTATGGCAATTAATCACCATATCTGAGGGACCATTTAGGGAGTGCTGACTATTCACCAAACAGTTGATTCAAAATAGCCACATATGCAGACCCGAAGCAACAGATACTGAATTATAATCACTCTGTATTTCTATTTATGTCTCCTTAATTGTCTTTAAC